GTATAGCCCAACAGGGCCTCCAGGTGGTGCGTCTGCTGCGAGTGTGGAATGATGACCCTGTGTGTTTTGTTCTGTGTGGCGTCCCCTCTTGATCTGGACATGATCTTTTCTGCCTCGCGTCGGAGGTGGGCGAGTAAGGTGCGAGGGTAACGGAGGCGTTGGAAGGTGTTGTTGACATGTTGTATTTCCTCCTCCAGGTATTCCGGGCTGCAGATTCTAAGTGCTCGGAGGAAGAAACCAATGACCACGCCTTCTTTGGTTCTATTGCTGTGGGCGGACAAATAGTGTATAAAATCATCTTTATTAGTTAGTTTTCTGTACACAGAGAATACTGGGCCGTCAGGTCTCCTATGGATTACGGTGTCGAGGAAAGGTAGCTGTGCGTTTCTCTCCTCTTCTGTGGTGAATTGTATGGATGGGTGCACTGCGTTCAGTCTATGGAGGAGGTCTTGAAGGTTAGACCTGGTTGGTACTACAGCGAGGATGTCGTCTACTTAACGAAGCCAAACTACATTCTTCCTCATGATGTTCCGTGGTCAGCCTCGAGGGTTTCCATGAACAACTGGGCGAGGACTGTGTGCGTGTGTGTACACACACATGCACACACACGCACGCATATATATGTGTGTGTGTATGTTTGTGTGTATGCCTATTTCTTAGGCCAAGTCTTTCACCAACAAAATTTATTTATTTGTTATCAATTATATGTTATTTTTATATTCTTGTGATATTCTTTACAATAAGGATATTTCTTCTATTTTCAATCTATCTTTCCTTCTTTTCTCTGCTTGTTTTTTCTTGTTTGTTGTATGAAATGGAACCTAACCTAGCACTAAACAAACAAACGAACAAAAATTAAAAGTAAGTGTTGAAACAAAAATACATTGAGAAAAATAAAAACAAAAGAAGTAATTTTATCTATTAAATGAAATTATCTTATAACGGATCTAAATACTTCATGGCAAGGTGTGACTTGAATGTTTCAAACCCACTGAAATGACCATTAATTCCGTGCTCTTCATTCCAAGGCTGAAATGAAATAGTGATAGAATAAGGAAATCATTTTGTGCTTTATGGCAGGAGAAAGGCCTGATTTTTTTCTACATTTGATGTGATCCTTAATCATTATTAATGTGTGTTTTTTTATCCAGATCCCTTACAATTTCTGCAATGGCAATATCTTCACTGCACAGACGCTTTCGTCAATCTTTCGAGTGTCGCAACGGCGTGGGCGTGGTGCGTGCGGCGGGGCCTGTATAAAGGGCGCGCAGTGGCTGCCTCCAGCACAGTTCCTGCCGCTTCAGCTCCCTCACCTGTTCCAGCGTCCCACTCAGGTCATCCGAGGTCATGATGCACAAGCTGCAGGTGTTGCTGCTGGTGGTGTGCGTGGCGGTGGACCCCAGCCTGGCCCAGATCACCTTCTCGCGCTCGTGGGTGCCGCAGGGGAAGCGCTCGGGGGCCCTGATGGCGCCTGAGGGACCTGCTCACCTGGGGGAGAGCTGTCACGGCGCCTACGTGGATGCCCTCATCCAGGTCGCCGCTGTGGCCAATGTATGTTGCAGTTCCTGCTGATCAAAGTTGCTATCCTGTAACATGTTCCTTGGACATGTATTGTGAGAACTCTTGACTGAGGTGTTTTAATTTTATTTATTTCTCCCCTTCTGATTATAACTGTCTTATTATTATCAACATCATATAATCATTTCATTGTCATTGTCATTATTATTATTATTTGTATTATTTTCAATATTATTATTGTCTGTATCATTTCCACTATTGTTTACCATTATAATTACTGTTTTTTATAATTGTCATTATGATTATTACTATCCTTATCATATCCTTACTGCCATTGACCTCAGAATAACTCCTCTATATTCGTTCCAGGACTTGGCCAGGACTGCCCTTGAAGCTGTCACTGTAGATGCACGTCTCCCGACCCCAAAGGCATCGAGATAGAACTTAGACATCTTTCAGGTTCTTCAAGTAAAGTGAAAGATAGAAAATAATAAATAAGAGAGACCAGATGACGAATAAGTGAAATAGATAAAAAAAAGTCAATTAAATATGTAATGTATATACAGTCAAAATGAATAATGACTAATAAAATCCTTGCCAGAATCCGTCTTAATGCCTCCCTTCATATTGTCAATGAACGCAGGTTATTACTAAACGAACGGCACAAATGACATGGCAGTTGAATGGCATTTCATCATGACACTTTGGGTAACTTTTGTTTTCTTTTACTGGCGGTTTCCGATCCGTTGCAACGTCTTTCCCCAACACATTATGGAAACGGCAAACCTTAACCTTGATTTGTCTAAAGCAACTTAACTCGACCTTCCCAAATTTCCCTTAATTTGTACTTTATTAGTTATCGCTAGAATTCATAGATTGGCGAGAGATACAAGATTCACTCCAAAATAAAAGGTAATTTCAATTTCAGCTTTTACAAATATAACGTATTTGAAATTCCTGCTTAGACAAATACAGAATTTAAAGTTTGCGATATCACCGATACTCTTTACATAAGCAAATCAGACTAGCTGAAGGTCCATCCAAATATAATCATAATACATGTATATATATTTATACGAAGTTCGAGCTCAGACGCCGTAGTGTCCATGCCTATTTTTTTGGTTCACAGCAGTCAAAGCACCAACCAACACCCGTGGGTAGCAGTGGGCCAGCACAGACAGAGGGGAATCCGACAGCCTCCCCATGGCAGCAAGGGCCAGCCAGGGGGATAACCTGGCGCTCTCTCGAGGAGCTTTCAAGGGCTCACCTTTACCAGGGAGTCGCGTCCCTCCCTCACTAGGGTAGGGAGGGGTTTGCGATACGAGTAGTGAATCACCAGAACAAACATATAGTACAAACAACCAAAATAGGATTGACAAATAAGTAATTGAGGAAATCGATGAAACAAACCCCAGATCACAGAACACCCACTTAAGAAGCACATCAACATGTAACGAAGATGGCAAAAGGTAAACCTCCCGGCCCTGGCGACATTATTGCGACAGTTTGCTCCCAAGCTCGCAGCCCTCTTCGCGACGTCGCCACCAGTCCAACAAGTCCTGTGGAAGCGACCCATCACAGTCCCGGTTCCCCCAACAAACCACTTGATTCTCCTGACAGCCTTAGCCTCAACCTTATTCTGTGGTAAAAAAACGAAAGAAAAAGAAATCGAGAGAATTATTGCAAAGGAATTGAGAAATGTTTTATATAGAAGATCCCGTAACAACCTGTGAGAGAAATCCCTCAATCATGCGTCGGAATGGGCTTCGTCGAACAGAAAGCGGATAAATACTGTAAAGCGCACGGGTATAAAGTTCAAATTTAATAAATTAGCCGTCTCTTCCATGCCAGAACACTGCCATGACGCTTGAAGTCGCGCCTCTGAGATCATTCTGACAGCAGTGGTTATCAGTAAAGATCTGAAGTAGTTCAGTAACACCAACATGACAATGTTGAAGTGCGGAAAAAAGCTTTATACGACCCTTATTTGAATATGCAGCGCCACTTTGCATTTATAAAATTTCTATTAACATAGTAGCAACCGCTTAAGCAATGACTCTGCTAAATAAACTCATTATTATTGTTATTATCATTATTGTTGTTATTATTATTGTCATTTTTATTATTATTATTATTATTATTATTATTATTATTATCATTATTATTATTATTATTATTATCGTTATTATTGTTGTTGTTTGTTATTATTATCATAAATATATTAAATCAGATATAATTATTATCTTCATCATTATCACTATTGAACCATAAACATTGCGACGAATGAAGAAAAGGTATGAATTACAATGAATATCTTCACAATACAAGGTATGTATTTGGCTGGTTTCGATTATAAAGAAAAACAGACAGGTAAATCTCTTGTATTATGAAAATTTCCTTCTCATTCATATTTTTTCTACCGTAATCCCCATCATCATTATAATTACTGTGTGTCTGTGTCAGTAGGGATTTTATCAACGCATCGGTTACCTGTTAAAATGCGTTATGTTTTGTGAGAATTCAAATTAGTATTATCTTTTATTTTGGAGCGAATATGTCGTGTATTTTCCCGCCAACCTATGCGATAACCAATAAAGTAGAAATTAAGGGAAATTTGGGAAGGTCAAGTTAAGTTGCTTTAGACAAATCAAGGTTCGCTTTTTCCATAATGTGTTGGGGAAAGCCACTGCAACGGATCGGAAACCGCCACTAAAAGAAAACAGAAGTTGCCCTACTTATCACGATGACATAATTTCGTGCCATTCGACTGCCATGTCATTTTTTGTGTCTTTCGTTTAGGGAGAACATGAAGGGAGAAATTATGATGGCCTCATGCAAGTATTTTAATGTTTTATTCAATTTGGTTGTATCTACATTGCATACTTCTTTCATTAACTTTTTATTTTATTTTTCTTGCTTTCCTTCATTTTGCTTGAAGATCTTGAGCGATGCTTATCTTGATATTTCTTTATCGCCGTAAAGCACCTTTTTATCTTCTCCTTCTATGCTGTCTATCTCTCTTCACGTCTATATCGATGCTTTTGGGTTCAGGAGACGAGGACGAGCTTCATGTGCAGTCCTGATCAAGTTCTGAACCGAATGCAGATGATAAGAATCATAATAATAGTAAAAGTGATAATGACAATAATGCCAATGATAATAACCAGAACTTTAAAAATCCTTGAAACACCTTGAACTAAGTGCTCTCGCAAGTCTTTATCAAGGAACTTGTTACAGGATAGCTACTTAGATCTTCAGGCTCTGCAACTTACATTGACCACAGCGGCGACCTGGATGAGAGCATCCACGTAGGCGCCGTGACAGCTCTCCCCCAGGGGAGCAGGTCCCTCAGGGGCCATCAGGGCCCCCGCAACCCCCGAGCGCTTCCCCTGCGGCACCCACGAGCGCGAGAAGGTGATCTGGGCCAGGCTGGGGCCCACCGCCACGCACACCACCAGCAGCAACACCTGCAGCTTGTGCAT